TGGCAACAACTATTGAACAGTTCTAGTTTGACTCAGCTGGTAGCAGGAAGAGGCTCTACGCTCATTCATTTTTAAAAAGGACGTATTACCGACATGCTGTTTGTTAACACTTCCCCACCAGCTTTCTGTAGCGCTTTCTACGTCACAGTCAGTTGCGCTCATTGGTCAGAGCATTGGCCAATAGACACAGACAGCGGTTTGAAAAACAACAGGTTGTTCTCATTAACAATCTCCCGATGTCCCAGTCATCGGGGCCAGACTAAATTACACATTTAATCTCCCATTTAGTCTTGTTTATCGGGCTACTAAGTTGGCATTTTTTCAAATTTGTCAGGTGCCAGGGTTTTGATTTTACAGGGGATGAGTTGCACTTTGAACAACATAAAATGTTGTTTTCCTGCTATTTAATTATCTTGATGATGCAAAAATCAATGCATAGAGGCAACTTATTCTCTCTTCTTTTCCGCGATTTGTAATGGTGAGGAAAGTGGGGCAAAAAAAAAAACCCCACATGAATGAAGAAACCGAAGAAAATAAAAAATAGCTTTTTTAAATATAATTTTTTGGTCCTATTTTGCTGTTTGTTATTGCCAGTCAGACAGCTAGCTGGCCTCCTCACATGCTCACAGCCTTGGTGTTGAATTCATTAACAAGTATCAACAAGAGAAAATGGAAACAAAAGACGGAACAGCTGTGTGTTGGGCTTCAGCTTGGCAGTGCTCCAGTCATTAGCCTCATCACACCTAACCCAGGATTTGATTTTGTTTCCTCCACACACAATTAGTCTGATTGGATGAATTAATTAGCCAATGAATGCGCTCTTTTGATATTTGATAGGTGATGTTTTAAGCTGCTGTGTTACTCCATGTATATTATTAATTCTTTTTTTTTCTCCCCCCCCCCCGCCTCCCGTGGCAGTCGTAATGAAAAATGCACGGCACGTAAATATAGTCTGGGAGAGGCCGATACAGGGTGCTGTGCCCCGACTGCAGATCCCCCCCCCCCCGCTCTACCAGACGATGATGTTCTTAAATGTGTACAGTGAGACCCGAGTGAGTGCTTCGCATTAGCTTTGAGGTTAAATTGACAAGCACGATCACCTGTCGTGGTGGTAAAATATCCGCAGTAATGCTCCGCCGCCTTTGGAGCAGGCGGGGTGTGTGTATGAGTGATTGGGAGCAGACTTTCCTGGTGAGCCAGTGGATGTTTGTGGGTTAAAACCTCATTAGGAGGGGATCTAAGTCCAAGGCCAGACATTTAGATCTTTCCCAGGCGAGAGAGAGCCTCCCCAACACCGGTTATCTGTCTGACCCAGCAGACAGGACAGGGAGACTTGCATGCTTTTGTGTGTGCGTCAGGAAGTTTGCATGCATTTTATTTATTTATTTTTATGTGGTAATATGCCTGAGCCTTCATTATAGTGAGAGCCATAACTTTGATAAATCACTTGGGCTCGGGGCCCTCACTGCTTTCACAGTATTAGAAAAAAACTAATTGAAATTCTCTTCTGCCGCCTCCTTCTTACTTTTTCTTCTTCCTGTCTTCGTTTCTGTTTTTTACCCTTTCCTTCATTCTCTCTCTCTCTCTTTCAGTCCGTGTAGCGAGCCCCAAACAGCACCATGATTTTTTTTTTTTTCGTGGAATGGGAGCCAAGAGGGGGGAAATGTCATCACTGATTTAATAGGCGTATTCTTGCTCAGAAACCCACAGCAGGCTCATGAGCTGGCACACAAACACGCACAGCACTCTGGGGAGTGTTAAGAATGCTGATAATGTCATCATAGGAATCTCCATAATGTATCCCTGCTCTCCTGCAGGCTCCAGTTCGCCTGTTTTTTGTTGTTTTTTTGTGGTTGTTTTTTATTAGATATTAACTGAAAGGGGGTGGATGAGATTCTAGGGTTGAGTTGATGGGATTTGGAGTTTGAAAACTCGCGTCTATGGTTGCAGATTGAAGGTCTGTCCGGGTTAGCTGTCCTGGATCTCCCAGCTGCCGCCGGATTGAAGCTTTAGCCGTTTTATTGTCCATGATCCCCCTGCTGCTCCTTCATTTGTTTCATTTGTGGGATTCAAGCCTGCTCTGACGCCAAATCAGATTGGGGTCTTTATGTTGCTATGGCTCAGAGAGGAAACTGACCAGGATCTCCTGACTGGTGCTAGATTTATTCATTTTTCCTTTTTTTTCTTTCTTTTTTTGCTACCGCTGCCGTGTCACTCTTTTCTCTGGCCCAAATTTGACAAGCTCTTAAACTCTTCACATTTCATCACTTAACCACAATAAATCTGAGCGTGGTTTATTGGGGTTTTATGGCATGGATCAACAGAAAGATATTCATGTGGAGTAAAGACTAAATGGTTTTCAAATATTTTCTAAACTTGCAAGTGAGACATGCATTCCCAGCCCTCTCTGTTCTAACATTCTTATATGAAATCCAGTGTAGCCAGCTGGTCACCTTGGGTGAATGGCGTAATTTCATATAGAGTATAAATCATCATGAAGATCAATGAACATCGATCAGGGATGAGGTTGTTTAAAGGTTTGGAGTTTGAAACAATATCCCAGGATTACATTAGCAGAAGCCAAAGGTTAGCGTGGAGGAGCTGCAGAGAATCAGTAGGTATAATTAAATTCAGCTATGCACACCTTGGATTTGCTCCTTGTTAAAGAACAGCTAAGAGAGGACTGTTGTTATGATAATCCACTATGGATTATCATAACATAAAGGCCTATAAAGGCCTGGTCAAAGTCCAAATCAAAGGCTATGTTCACACTGCAGAACTCGACGCTCAATTCTTATTTTTTTTGTGAAATCAGTTTTTTTTTGCATGTCCGTTCACATTTCTAAATATATGCGACTTGTATGTGATTTCCATAGTGAACTGCATCGATACCAATTAAGTGTCCTGCATGCGCAGTAGGGGATGCGATGACGGCATACGTATCGTATTTCCCCAAATATTAATCACTTTATCTCCACTGCCATGGTTGTTCGTTTTCTTCCCACCTCCGTTTAGTAGGACGCAGATTAGTGACGTTTGTCAAGTATCAATGACGTGTAGGTCGAATGAATGCGACCTAGCCGTTCAGACACAGGTCGCATTTGAAAAGATCAGATACGTATCGCATGCAGGACCACATAACCAAGTGGTATAGGTTGCATTTGAAAACAATCTGACCCGTGTTGAAAAGATCAGATACAGGTCACATATGGGCAGAGAAACTGTTATTGGTTCACTTCAGGCGGCTGTGGGAACGCAGCTTTGATGCAATCTGTGGTAGGAGTTGAAGATAGATACACAGACGCTTTCTGATAAATCTGATAAAAAGATAACATTGATTTCAGGTTCATATATTAGATCCCTAGCCTGTGTTGCAGATTTGACTTAGAGATGTTGATAATGGTTAAATGTTGCACTTATAAGGTTTTTTCATCATTTTTTTTCACATATTTTAAATGTAATATACCTCATCAAACATATGTTGGATTTGGGGGTTTTAATGGAAGAATTTTTATTTTTTTTACAAGGTGCTGTAGGGATGAAAGCAATGAGTCTGTGGCTGAGTGAGTGGGCTTTATTGGACCAACCGACTTCATTTAATCCCGTCAGCACGAGAATTTCCCTCTGCAAACATTCCTCAGACGTATTGCATGCTGGGACGGAGGGCAGCGTCCTCCTGGCCTGCGTCCGTATCCCAGAGAAATCTGTGCCACTATCTCGGCACATTCCCAAACACAACCACGCATGTGAGAGTTCTGCACTGATGAGGATGTGTTGACTGATTAGACCGCAGTAATTAGCGTGAGTGTTAGGGCCCGGAAAAGGTCTCCACTCAAGTGGGAGTGTCTCCTCCAGAGAGATGTTGAAGCTGCGCCATGCGCCATTACTTCTCACACATACGCCACAGAAAAGAGTCCCATCCGAGTCTCAGATGCCGCATGAGTCATCTCTGAGGCAGACGTAATATTTGGTGCCAGTGTGGAGCGAGAGGAAGGGGCGTTTGAGGCACAGAGGCTTGCAGCATGGAGATGTGTGCTGCAGAGGGGAGGGGTGCTTGTGCCAGCAAGTTTCTGTTCCCGCACGCCGTGGCCTCAAACACCTTTACCCATCAACCCTGTCCTCCTCCGCTTCCTGCTCATTTTTACCTCCACTTCCTGTCTTCCAGACACTGATTTTTTTTCCTGCATCAGAAAGCAGTTTCTGCTAAATAAAAATACCATATGAGGACCTCAGTCTCATACTTTGAGTTAGGATAGTGTAAAAGGAATTTCTGGTCTGTAAACTCTTGCAAACAGTGCCCCCACATGGATTAAAAGTGGAATTGCTTTTGTGGCAGCAGTGTGTGGGATCTATGTGATTTTACTTGATTTGTTAAACCAGCTGATTCTTAGCTGTTAATTAGTTGTTTATATGATCAGAATAAAAAAGGTTTTACATTTTCTGGAGAAGTTTGATGCTAGATTTTTTTTTTTTACTAGACATTTATAAGTGTGGTAAAAGAGTCTTTATTCTCTATAACATTTAATCAGTGTTGCATCACTCATCCATCCATACATTAAATTTTCAATTATCTATCTCTCTCTCCAGTGGTCTGTCTATCCTTTTTTCTTTTTATCTTTCCATCCATCCGTTTTAAACTCACGCATCCATTTGTGTCCGATTCTCCATCCAGTTATCTGTCTGTCCATCTATTAATTTATCCACCCACCCAATCCGAGGGTCCATTTGTGGCAAATCTTAGTCAGTCCTTTTCATTAGTCCATTTATTCATCTGTCTGTCCCGTTGTTCTGGATCTATTCCACTGTAAAAATCTTTTTTTTTTCTTTTCATAAAATGGGTTAAAAATGATGGGGAAGTCTGAACGTTAAATGTCGATTACTTTACCTGCAATGATTTATGCTAAGAACATTAGTTCTTACTTGTTACCCCTCTCCCTTTCCCCTATCTTACCAATCTCCTCCTTTGCTTACCTAACTCCCCCTTTTTTTTTATTGAACAGGAAGTTCTACTACATCACTCTGCTGAGGGACCCCGTTTCCCGCTACCTCAGCGAGTGGAGGCATGTGCAGCGGGGCGCCACATGGAAAACATCCCTGCACATGTGCGACGGTCGAACCCCGACGCCAGAGGAGCTCCCTTCCTGCTACGAAGGCTCTGACTGGTCGGGCTGCACTCTGCAGCAGTTCATGGACTGCCCATACAATCTGGCCAACAACAGACAGGTATGCAGGAAAACGTTAATGAAACGCTGAAACCATTCTAAAAGTTTAGTACAGGGTAAGCTTCGGGCAGTGGATTTGTTGCATGTTTATTGCCTGCACCTGGTTTCACTTGAAAATGTTTAACATGAATTTAGCTTGTTCAAGGAAAGTTGGATTATTTCTTAGAAAAGCAGAAAAAGAACATTTTGTAGCTAGAGTGGTAAAATATATAAAACGCACAATCTTCCACACCTTTACACAGCGGGGACATAAAAACAGCAAATTCACACCTTTTTTTTCACTCGCTGTCTCAGTTTCTCACTACCAGCTTATCTCATCTGGACCTTAGGGGGGGTTTCACTAAGCCTCCTGTGACGTTCATTTGTGTCTGATAAAGTCTGCTAAACTGCCATCCTAAGGTTTAAATGATTCAACCGTTTCTCCCCCTTTTTTCTATACTTTTATATGAACTGAATACATCTGATTTAACTAAAAAAACAACTGCAAACACATGCAAAGAACCAAGCTTAAAGCATTCTCTTGAGGTTTTGAGATATAAACATTGCAGCGTGTAATAGTCAGTGGAAATAAAGGATAAAGTGCCTTTTTAAAAGATAAGAAATACCTTCATCATCCCAGAGTGGGGAAATTCTTGTAGATGGAGAAAAGAAACATATCTCAGAGGAATAAAATAGGGTGAGATCGTTCATGTGGAAAATGAATATTATATATAAAAAATATAACCTGAAACATTCAAGTTTGAAGGAGGAAAGAATAAAATCAGGCAGTTTAGAGAACAATGCCAAAGGTCTGTTTTGGTGATATGATTATAGGAAAGTGTTTGTGTTTTTTATTGGGAGCAGAAAACGTTATGAAGTCCAAAAGCGCCTGAAAGGAAAGAAAGATCTGCAGAGGCGCTCCTTTGTGCCTCTAAGCTGAAACCGTTTGTCACTGAAAGAGCTTCCCAGCTGTACAACAGCTTTTCAATAAAATAATTCACCACAGAAAACAGAGAAGTGGATAAAAGTGCTTAAACTCCAGACCCCCTTTACTTTGACTTTCCAAATCAAATCCAGTGCAGCCAGCCTCCATAATACAACTTATTGTCTAACAGAATGGTTTTATTCCAAATGTTATACGGGCTATGATAAGAAAAAGACATGAATAAGCAAGAGGACCTGTAGTGGTTATCTAAACTCATGGCCATCCACCTAAACTGAAGAGGAGAGCATTGATTAGGTGAGGCCCTGCAGGGATTTAGAGCTCAGCTGGAAAGATCAGGACAAAGTGGTTTAAAGGGGACCAAGAATTATTGGAGGCTGTTTCCAGTTTCCTTCCAGTGAATACAGACATGTAGAAGATGCTGTTCTGGTCAGATGAGATAAAAAATTAGCATTTTGGCCTCCATACATAATGTATGAAAGGAAACCCTTTATATTGCATGAACACACTCCCATTTTGAAACATAGAGGTGGGAGCATAATGCTGTAGGGGTGCCTGTAAAAAAAGTAGAAACATTACCCATAAACCTCCTTTTGCTCTTCCTCCTTCACCAACAGGTCCGTATGTTGGCCGACCTGAGCCTGGTCGGCTGCTACAACATGTCAACGGTTCCAGAGAAGAAGAGGGCCCAGCTGCTGCTGGAGTCGGCCAAGAAGAACCTGCGGGACATGGCCTTCTTCGGGCTCACAGAGTACCAGAGAAAAACCCAGTTCCTCTTCGAACGAACCTTCAGGTTACGCTTCATCAGGCCTTTCATGCAGTACAACAGCACCCGGGCTGCAGGAGTGGACCTGGACAACGCTACGGTCAGTACCACAGACATAATAAAAATGACAGCAAGGAAAAACCTGTTTTAATCAGCACCATGATAACAAAACAACCTGTGCTAAAATATATCCTTTAAATATTCCTTTCATTTATGGGAAAAAAAGGATATGTTCTCAGAAAAAAAAACATTCAAAAAATAATTGAAAAGGAGATAAATGCACAAACGTGTGTATGGGGAGACAAAAGGTAAATAGTCTGGTCGGGTGTTCCTGGGAAATGGACTGAGATAACTGTAGCTGTTTAAAAGACAGCAGCTTCAAACCAGCTCTTCACACTTTGATTGGCCCAGTGTGGGAGTTCTTAAGCTCAATTTCTCTGCAAAAAAAAATGAGAGAAAGAAAAAAATCTACCTCTGGAGCACAGCGGCGTGGTGATTTAAACATCAAACCGGGCCGCTCGGAGAGAATAATATATGCACAGCTCCCAGACTCAAAAGGTGGACCAGTGGATCGTATAAATGGAGGAATAATCTCATTGTAAAGGTTTGAGGTAGGGCATGTGGGGAAACTGCGTGTGGTATTTTTCTGGTTAAAATAATTCTTAAAATTAGCATTTCTGTGAAATCTAATTTCAGAGAGCTTTGTTTGAGTCTGCAGCCTCTGCATGTTTTAAAGAACAATATTTCTTCTATCTTCTCATGTCTGCCTTGTATGTAGTCATCTTGGCTTCTTTGATTGAACTTTATGTCTCAATAATTTGATTGCCTCTCACTGATGGATAAAGACCGGGTTTTGCATTAGCGTCCCTCATGTTTAACCTCCAAATTTGGACCCCAACATGTTGCCTCGGTATGCTTTCACACACATTAATTGAAAACACTTTCCCTCTGTGCTTTCAAGATCTTTCTCTAGAAGTCTTTACCTTTTTTAAGGCAAATGTTTATCCTCCTGTGGCTTAAATTGCTATAATAATTTTAAAAATTACAATTCAGGATATCTAAAATTGTGCTGTTTTTGGGTCATTCTTTCATTCACTTTGTAAAGTACATTTAATGGGGCTGCTGCCTGCAAGAAGCCAAAAACTGTCTTGTGTTTAATTTTTGCAGCTATTTGTTGTAAAATCAGTGTTTTTCTTGATCACATTTTGTTCGTCTGATGCTCAAATGTTCGTTTGAAACCTTCAAACAGCAGTAATGCTATAATTGCTCTGACCACCACTCCACCTCTGATCGCCTCTCTTTGAATTTAGGCAGAGAGCGTTAAGACCTGGGTTTAGTCCGACTTAATTTACACAGAAGACTCAAGACTTGGGCTAAAAGAACTGAGACTTCTCTCAATAATTTAAAAATCTTATGTAAACTTTTCCCTCCAGACTATATATAAGAACTTTGGTTGGAGTTGTTGTATTTGGATTTGGCACGTTTAGTACTCTAGGTTTGACTCGGATTTGCCCTGAACTTGAATCATTTAAATGGTACTTTAGAAAAAAGACTGGATAACCAAGACCTTAACGTCAGACTTTCAATAAAATAATCCAAGCCTAGACTTGGACTTCCCTCTCAACAACTAACATCACAACTTAGGCACCTACTCGACACCAGTAGTTCTCTAATATTTCCATTACTGCTTTTTTTCAATTGGTACAACTAGAGATAAGTAGGTCTAAAAAAAAGAAAGACTACTGAAAAAGCAGTGATGGAAATGTGAAAATTATTGGGGGATAGAGAAAGACAAGTAGAGCCAGTGGGAAGGGGGCTTTAGATTTACCCTATTAAATGATAAATGGGTTAAAGATATAGTGGAGGATGTTCTTTTTCCAGGTGGATCATCAAAATAAGTGGTCCTCCTAATTGTCAGTCATTCTGGTGATATGTTTACTCGTCCCAATTTTCACTTACCGTTGGTGAGTCTGACATTATGGAAAAATTGCAAATCTTCTTTTGGAAAGTAAGCTCGTATGAGACATGCGAACAGCAGCTTTTAAACAGAGCGTTCACGAGAAGAAATGGGCTCGTGCATGCTCTCGCGTGCGTTTAATAGGCATTCCCTCTTGGTAGTGGGTACAGGGTTCTGCATCTGCATTTTTATTAAGTGAAGAGAATCAGAATCCACTTTATTGCCAAGTAGGTTTGCACTTACAAAGATTTTGAGTTGGTGTTGATGGTGCAGACAAAATAGATAGATATATATTCCAAATCTATAGCTATATACAATATAAAATATACTATATGCAATATATGGTACATAGCTATATACCATATACACAGTAGACTGTGCTTTAACGTAACGTTGGTGTTGCTTGTAGGTCCTGAACGGGGGAGGGAGAGAGGCAGTGTCAAAGGGCCCAAAAGGCCCCGGAACCTGGTAAAAAGACTGGTAGGGATGGGAAGAAACTGTTATTTTCAATAATTTGTGAAAATGCTCCACTTTACCCTTAACTTGGACCTAGGACAATAGACTTGAGACTGGGATTGGTCTTGCCACTTTTGATAGTTGGGGTTTGCCTGGCCGAGACTTTAGCTGTGACCTGGACTTTCCCCTTAAATATTAAAGACTTGGGTATAAAATTGCGAGTCTTTCAAGAACTCAGTACTTATTCGTCCCCCTCAAAGACTAGAGACTCACCTTGGAAGTGGCTTTTATAGGCGGAAGGCTTGATTTGGAGTTGGGACTAAAGACTTGGAAGTTCTACTTGGACTTGGCTTTTATTTGAGTTCTTTAGTCGGATTTGAGTTTCCTTTCAAGGACTTGAAATCTGACTTGAAATCTTACTTGGAAACATCTTTGCAGACGAGTGAGTATGAAGCAAACCACAGTGTCTAGTTCAGGTTCACGGAGGAGCCATTTTTTGAAGTATCATAGCTGAGTTTGTGTGCATCTCCCTGTTTTAAGGACAGAGCGATGAACAATCTGCACTAGGAGTTTAATATTTAATCTAATTTCTGTCAGTTTTAGGCTAACTTAGAGAAGTTGCACCCGGAGTTTTTATTTCTAAGCTTTTGTACTCCAGCTTTAATGAATTTTTAATTCACTTTCAGTAGCTTTTTTTGCTCAGCCATCTTTTTTGTTTTTGTTTTTCCATTTATTTTGTTGTTTACTTGGTTACCATCCAAATAAAGGCTTTGGTCACTGAAGCGTTCATGTTCTCTCCCTTCAGTCGACATGCTTTTTGCAGACTGCTTCCATGCTGGAGGAGGAGCTCATGTTTGAACACGCAGCAGCCCAAACAGAAATGCTTCTGCAGGACTACTTTAACAGATCAGGAAGGAACTCAAACCATTTTGCTTACACAACATTTGCTTCCAGACACATTTCTTTTTATGTGTGGCCAAAACAGACAAGCATATCCCGTATTGTGATTAGAAGCAGAATTTTTTTTGTGTTTGTTAGAGAATTGATTTAAATGAAAGGGGGAAAAAAGCAGTTTTAATACAGCAGTTTATCAAAATAAACTTATAAATCCTTAACGGAATGTCTGCTTTTGTCCTGTTAGGATTAAAGTATCTCTTTCTCTAAAAGCAAACTTTTTTTTTTTCCTCTTCCAGTTTTAAGGTTGGATCTTTCTGTAACTTGGTAATCAATGGAAACCTTTTCTCTCCGGTCCAGGTGCAGCGTATCGAGGAGCTGAACGAGCTGGACATGGAGCTCTATGACTACGCCAAGGACCTGTTCCAGCAGCGCTACCAGTACACCCGCCAGCAGGAGCGGCGGCAGCAGCGCATCAAGAACCACATACAGCAGAGCCACCAGGGCCTCGGCCTGAGCGTCGGTCTGTGGCCCTCCCGCGGGCAGGCCAGCTCACAATCAACACTGGAGGACGGTGACATAGAGAGGGAAGAGCGGGAGGAAGGCGAGGAAGGGGGCAGAACGGAGGAGGCGGGTGCCAGGCTCCCCACCGAGGACTACATGAACCAGATCATCAACCGCTGGTAGCAACAGAACCCGAGCAAACGAAAGAAACGCGTATGTAAAGTCATACTCACACACACTAATCTGCGGAAAGCGGCGCCTTCTTCAAAAGACCCAAACAAAAAAAGCTGACGACCTGGGACCAGGGCCGCAAAGGATCGCAGTCTTTGGGGGGGGTTGCTATAGCAACCGGAGGCTGGTCGCTGCATTGACTCTCATTATTGAGGTTTGCCCAGTTGTTATTGCCGCCTGCCTGCCCTTTTCGCCTACCCTGCTACATCTTCTTGTTTCTTTGAATCCGTCATCATCATTACCTCGCAAGCAAAGGAGCAGAGGAGGACATTTTCAGAAGTTGCTGACAACATCCCGGCTTTTTTCCTCCCCTATCCTTCGCCTCCTCTGATGGTGGGGAGGGGGGAGCCAGAGAAAAAGGAAAAATCAGGTCTGTGAAATTTCAGTTATTCTTTCCGGATATTCCTGCATCAGAGGAACTGGAAAGGCTCTGAACAAAAGGACAATAAGCGTGACAGCGTGTGAGACTGTATCAGGGAGCAGGGGAAAAAAAAAAACTGCAGAAAGTCGTGTAGTGGAAGTGCTGCGCTTGCATTAAGCACCCATTTCATTCATGAGCAAACTGTCCTCCAACTGTCTCATTTTGTGTTTTAAGATTGTTTTATTTTTATTTTTTTTGGTCTTTATGCTTTGTTCAAAAGCCGAATTGTAATAACACTGAGACCAACATTGCTGCCTAAAAAAAAAAAAATATTTTTTGTTTTTTTTAATTGTTTTATATGTCGAGAAAAGGATGGGATTGACGAACAATGGACCATAGCCATTACTGAAGCCTTGCTTCTTTTAAGAAAGGTGTCGCCCGTGTGTCTGATAAAGGTTCCCAAAGCTCCTGTCACTTTAACAAGTTCATTATTTTGCCTTTTTCTCTCCCATTCTTTTTTTTTTTCTCAGTCCTGCAAAGAAAGACGTCCAATTAAAGAACCGGATCTCACACAGGTGCGAAGGAACCGAAAGCAGCGGGGTGAGATAGGGGTGGGGGGAAGGTTGTTGCCAGGAACCGTGCAGTGCGAGCAGCAAGCGCTTTGGAAGCCTTAACTCGGGCAAGAAAAAAAAATGCTTGAAATGGGAGCTGCAGAACTGTTGGTCACCATGGCAATGTGAGCTCTTAATGTGTCGGTGGCATTTTAGCTTCTTTTCTTTTCCTCCTGTTTTTTTTTTTTGCAACCCTGACTACTTTGTAAAAAGCATCCATCTCATGCAAGCCACCGTCCCATCCTCTGGAAGGGCAAGCGTTGCCTTGGTGACCTGCAGTTCGTTGGTGCAAAGAGCGTACGGGGCGAGGTTGCAGTGCCTCTATGTACTTGGATCATAGTCAACATAATTATTGCCAGATATTAAGTCTGCATTGTACTACGGTAATTTCTTTGACTACTTGTGAGTTTGTGTGTGGGTGTGAGTGTGTATGTATGTGTGTGTAAATAGTGTGTACAGGAAAAAAGAATGGTGTTTGGGTTAAAAGTGAGAATGTTTGTGCATGTTTGTGAACAACTCTTTTCATGACCAATTCTTTTTTTGTTTTTATTAAATTTTTTTTACAGACAGATCAAATTAATTCAAGCCCTTTTTCTTGCCTCCTTGTTCTGGTTGTTACCCATACCTATAGTTTCAAATTATTTATATTTGTGTAAAAAGATATGACCGATCTGCACTTTTTTATCCAGGTTTTGAACCTCTATTTTAAAAAAAAAAAGAAAAAAAACGAGCTGTTTTCCAGCTGCTTGGTCGTATCTTCAAAGGCGCTCCCATGATCCCACAGGGCCCCGGCTTGTTGACCTGCACAGATAAGCGAGGTTACAGCCGGAGCTGTTTTCCACAGACTGTTTGGCTGGATGTTGACACGCCGCAGGCTGCTGGTTTAGCCCCAACTCCAAGTATTCTTAATCACAGCAGGAAGTAGATGCTTTAGATATCTTTAAAAAATATACATTTGGAGACGCAAGTTATCCTCTCCCTGAACAATGTCGGTGTAGGAAACCCATTCTGAGTGAATCTTAGATTAAAGCGTAGGGTGATAAGGTTATAGCTAAGGTGCCTTGCAAAAGTATTTTTATTTTTACATTTTGTCACATTATTAGTGCAAACTTGAATATATTTTGGGGGGGATTGTAGGAGCAACACAAAACAGTGCTTAATTCTGAAGAGAAAGCGATTTTTAAAGTTCTTTTGTGGCTAAAAATCTGAAAATGTGACATATGTTGGCCACATTTCGGACCAATAGTTGCTCCCATTCTTTTGCAATAACCCCCCCCCCCCCAATTGTAGCTGTTAGCACATTCTTCTGGTATCTAGAGAAGATCTGATTGGTTGCTTTTTGGAGTATCAGATTTAATAGTTTGTATTACAATGCACTTTTCAGATATACTATTTGTTGGAAAAAAGTGAGCTAATTTTGAGTTGGACGATCACATAAAATCCCAGACACCACACAAGTGTGTCCTTTTAATTTGGCAAAATGTAAACCTTTAAAGGGTGTGAAAACTTTTGCAGGCCGCTGTTTTACCTTAAAATTAAACTTTTGGCTTGTATTTTAAAATGAGATCAGATTTGGAACCTGCTCATGAACAATAAGGGGAAAAAAAGAAAAAACAAAGTGAAGTACCGGTAATCCTCATCTTCATTTCTGTTGTGTTTGATTCACCTAAAGCAACAAATACTTAGTCCTAGATTGACTCTTAATGGTATTAAGCTGAGAAATTGGAAGGAAAATGTGGGAGAAAACTGAGGGATGTCAATAGTGCGATGGAAATAAGACGGGCAGCTGTGCGTTGTAGTTTAAACTACATGTAGATAATGGAAGCAGTTTTTTCTTTTTAAAATTTGGACAGTTTGGTTTTAGCTAATCACTACAGAATCCTGCCTTAGTGGTGTGATAATCTCTGTTTTATATATGGAATGATTCACAATGAAAGGAGAGAAAAATGAAGGGATCATACAAAGCATTAGAACTCATTTATCACCAGTGTGCTTCTTTTTTTTTTTTTTTAACTGCACAATTTTTGAAAGCAATGCCGTAGGGACAGAAAAACGGATATTGGAGGAGAGTAGCTCCCTTTTCATATCAGCTTTCCCGTCATTGTCTTTTTCTGCAACTGGGGACATGAAAACGCCGCAGCTTCAAGGCATTTTGCCCATAACTTGTAAATCAGAGCCGGGTTTGCATCGGTGTTGGTTTAGGCTCCGGTCCAAAATGTGTCGCTCTACATTTGTTGTAGAGCAAAAGGCAGAAACCCATCCTCCACCTATGGGGGTTTATTTTTTGTTTTTAATCGTTCCATTTTTTTTGACTGATAATCAGAATCAAATACTGTCTGTATGTGTGTGTGTGTTTGTGTGGAAGGAAAAATAAGCTTTTTACTGACATCATTCCAGAAAAAAAGGTATGCTCAAATATATTTCATTATCTGATGTCTTAACCTTATTTCCTTTGTGAGAACAGTAAAGCATCATCCTTCTGTTTAAAGAGAGCGTGAAAGGGATTTGTTTTGTTTTTTTTAATTAATGAGCAGGTTGTCGCTGCCTCCTTATGTATGCATCTTTGTGGGTTTGTTTCTTTATGATTGCAAAACTGAATCATCAAATCACCAATTAAAATATTTCATTTTTACAGACCTGTCTTCTGGATCTTTTGTTTTTCTTGGTGCAGCACCTTGCCAATATATTTGTGGTTTGTAAAAGCACAATCTAACCCTCTAACTTTGCCAAATGGCTCGAGCTCTATCAGATAAACAGAAGAACATCTGAAACCTGAAGATTAACAAGAATGTTTATTATGAGAATAAGTCATCTTTTGTTTATAACGGCTGGGAACACGTTTATAACTAAAAATGTTATGACTGGAAAGCCACTTTTACTGTTTAAACCTTTTACTCTGTTAATTTACACATAATTAATAATAAAATAAAAATTGGACAGAGTAATTAGGGACTGATAAAGAGTAAAAATAGACTCTATAAGATTTATTTTAGTGCAGTATGTTTTTTTTTTTTTTCATGTCACTGTATAAAGTGGTACATTTACATAAAAACACATAATTTACATTATAATCACAATAAACACCCTAAAATATTGACAATATAATAAATATGTTTTGACTTGACAGCTGCAGCTCTTGTTTTATGTTTTTTTTTTCTCTTATTGATATTCTTCCAAGATTCCCCTGTATGCAGCTCCATCTATTTTGACTGTTTTCCTCTTTCCCCACAGCATTATGCTTTCACCACCTTACTTCACCATGGGTATGATGTGTTCAGGTTGAAGTGCAGTGGAAGTTTCCACTATAAACGGTCTTAGGTAGTAAGGACTCCTCCTAGCCTCCTTCCAGTGGCTTTCCTGCTGCTAATGTTCTAACCCGAGCTTTGCACACAGCAGCTCCTCCTGACTTTTTCAAAGTTCCTCGTTTCAATTGGTGCGCCATGTTTCAACAAGAATTCAAGGGAAATCTTGTTTTATTTTTTTGTTTTTTTTTTCCGCCACTCGTGGTTGTTCAAAAATGGAAACGCCATCTGAGTCGCAGAACTTGAAAGCCAAAGAGATCTCCATGAAAAGCTCACCCTGTGATTGCTGTGACAACTCGTGCCCCTCAGCTCTCTCACATATCCACCCACAGACCCATCTGTTGCTGGAGGACATTTCTACCACCCGCCCAAACCGACCACGGGACCATGACCCTGAAAAAGCAGCTCTTTCCCATTTCTAATGACGGCCAGAGTCCTGTCAAAAGTGATCTACAGCCTAATTTGGCCGGCAGACACAACCGGACTGCTAAACATGCTACCCCACTCACACTCACACAGGTTTTCTTCCTTGGCAGGTAAGGAATTGACAAGCTGGGGTGAATTTAATCTCCTGTCCTTGGAGTCATAGGAGTAAAGTGCAGACGTTACCCCCTTCATCTCATCATACGTCTTCAGCTTAAACTCTGACTCCTCAAGGCAGCGTTGGACGATGATTTGCATGGACAGTGACAGTAAGATGAAGGGAGATGAAAACAGACAAGGTAAAGAAGAGTGGGAATGTAAGGTGATTAGAGTCCAAGAGGGTCTTTATGAAAGATAATAGTAATATTGTTTTCAAAGAATATTTTATATAAAACAAAATGAAAGAGAAAAGAAGAATGGTGCAGTTTCCCTTACTAAATCTGACTGTTTAATCCTCCCCCGTTGCTCTGGATCACTGTCATTTCAAGTGCAGCTGGGCTAAACAAACAATAGCAGATAAGCTACCGCAGAGGGACGGACATGTGCACTCCTGCTTGTGAGAAAGTGTGAACTAGTTCCTGCAGGGAAGGAAGGGGGGGTGAGAGTCCAGCTCTGAGGGATTCTCCATCATCAAGCGGTCAAACTGGCTGAAGCTTTCCTGCATGGTTCCAAAGCTCGTTTCAGGCAAACAAAGAAACCCTGGCGTTATTTCCAACATGGAGTTCTGCTTATAAGGTCACATTAGGCGCCTTTCATGCATGCGTCAGAGACTGCCTATTGTCATCCTGGAGGGATGCCCTCGATGGCACCGATCATGATAGCTAAGCTCCTTTTTTTTTGTTTCTAGTTGAGTCATTCCCAACAGATGTCATGGCTTAGACTTTCACAGTCATGTACACAATGTGGGTAAATTTCCAAACACAAGTAATCTGCAGAGATTCAGCTCACTTTTTTGTCATTTGGTAAAAGCTGAGGCAGCGAGAGAGATCAGAGCAGAGTCAGGGACCTTTTTTTTCCCCCATCTGCAGTCCTATAAATGATTAGATTGAACATCTGGTGCTTTTATCTGACCCTCCACTCTGGGTCTGGCTTATCTCTCAGGACAACATCCAAATCATCTCGAGTGACAATACAGTTGAATTACAGAATAAAACCTCTCAGGCAGCAATTTGCAGACTAATATCAGAGAGAGAGCAGTCTAAAGAATCCCTCAATTATATTAATGTCTAAAACATATGCTTATCGTTATGTTTAGGAGTGTGTGACAGTATGGAGCTTTAATCTAGAGGCTTATGAAAAACAGATCTGCAGACGCATTCACATTAAAGTCTCATAAATGATGTTGTTTGGGGAATTTACTTTAAGCCGCAGCTGAGGACTGAAGAAAAATCCTGTTTTAAAACAGTCTCCCAATAGTTCAGCCACTTGTTCATATATGTTCTCACTCACTCCAGTCATTTGTATTTACATTGTATTTGTAAGATGGTGTTGACAAGAAATGGGGATGAGGGAAAGGTGGAAGATCTGCAGGCTGCGACTCAAACCGGGGATCGCTGCATCAAGGACCGAGGCCTTCACCATGCCCCTCCTCTCTGATTTTATTATTACATCTTTTTACATTTTTTCTGTCATATTTAGGCCTAAGCTTTGCTCAGACCATCATAACAAATTGGTGGTGGTGGCCTAGTGGTTAGAGCATTGAGCTGGTGCTCCAGAGGTTCTGAGTTCAACCCCCACTCCCACAGACTGCCACTTTGGGTCCCTGAGGAAAGACCCTTAACCTTGGGTGCTGCACAATGGCAACCCACTGCTTCCTAAGGGGATTGGTTGAATGCAGAGAGTGAATTTCTCCAGTGTGAGATCAATAAAGTTCAATTATTATTATAAAAATTGACATTTATTAATCTAAACCACTTGATTGCAGCTCTGGGGGTAAGTTTAGAGTGGTTTTCTCGCTGGAAGGGCAACCTTCAGCCCAGTTTTAAGTATTTTGCAGCTTCTGACAGAGTTTCCTTCAGGATTCAGTTTGCATCAACTTTCACATTCTTAACTCTCCTTGCTAATGTAAAGCACCCCCACACCATGATGCTGCAGCACTCTGTTTTACTACTTGATATGGTGTCTTTAAGGTGACCAGTTATTTTTCTGCCACACACACTTTCTTTCTTTCAGGGTAAAATATTTAACCTTAATCTTATCTGATCTTTCTGCCATATAAATTGTTTGCCAGCAAACCTCCCTTCATATTATGCTGTGAACAAAAAAGTGGTTCCCTTCTCATAGATAAGCTTAGTCCTAGAGACAATTAATTGAACTGGATTTATTTAGGGCGTCACAGTAAAGGAGGTGGAATGCAAATACACGTCACTTTTTTAATAAAAGGGAAATATTCTACATATAAAGCCATTTTTTAACAGGGACAAATGAAAATATGTTATAATTTCAAGTTTAGGATCTTGCAAGAATAAAAAAAAATAATAATTGACACCAGGAGTCAACCGGGAATAGTTTGACTCTGGTCCAAACATTGGGAACAACTGTTCTAATTGAAAAAGTGTGTCATTATTTATGTGAGCAAATGTTAAAAACAGCAATCAGCCTCCTCTCCAGCTGTATTTAAGACTTAAGCTCAGTGCTGCTCCGTGTTCGGAAGCTGTAATGTGCTGAATTAGCTTCATGTTACAGACCCCGGCTGACCCCCATTATACAGCCAGGGACACATTTAATTAGTGGCAGCTCACGTGAAACGACAAAATGTATTAATATTAATGAAGGTTTAATTGAGGTCGCTTTGGTCCCCCGTCGAGACTTTCAACCTCTAAAATGGCTGACGTGTGATAGCTCGAGTAGAGGGAGCCCACAATTTCATATGTGACCCCAGAGAAGATGACAACCATCTCCCATAATTCATCTGAAGATGTCACCTTCCTGACAAATGAACAGGCGCTATGGGCAGCGTGTGTGAGGGTCCTCCAGGCTCAGTTTAGCGCCACTTGTGAGGACATTATTAGGATAATTCGGCCTGTTCTCATTGGGACACAGCTGACTTTCAAGTTAGTTTACTGAGTGAGAGTGTGTGTTAAAGCCTCGATATGTGCGCTGTCCACATGTTCATGTCAAAGTGAAGGTCATATCCAGCAGGATAATTAATGGAGCTGCTTTTTATATAATGTTAAATCAAACCTTGGAACTGCTCCCTCTGGAGGATCAGCCGTCCAATTTAATTTGGGCTGCAGAGCAAGTAAATGAAAAAGCAACAGCCATGTCTTTGCACCCTGGGACACAAACTCACACAGTACCTTTAATGTTCTTCTTTTATTTTATCAAGATCATGCAACAGGTAGGTAGGAAGCCTCTTGTATGGCACCAATATTCCCCCAAAGGGACTGTCTATGCAGAGCACGATGAACACTAAAGGAAAAGATCAACAAAATGGTTGCAGGTGGAAAATTATGTTGATTAATTTCCTGTTTGAAGCAGCTTACAAAGCTATAGCTACTATGAACATTGGGAAAACTTTTTTTTTTTTCTAATAGAAAGTACTCCTACCCCAGTGCTTACATGTTTAGATGGATTTCTACAGTGAACGCTCTAGTACCAGTAAATAAAGCTTGTTTTCCTTTTAGAGAACACACCAGATGCTGTGCTTCTCTGATTTTTTCAAACACAGGGACTTTTAAGGAAAAATGCAATTTAAAGCTCAAATCATAGTCAAACAGTGAAATCTGCACACATTTGGAATAAATTCTGATTAACTTCCATTCCAGCAGCTGATTCATAATTCTGTGAGTTTGCTGGGTTTCAGGGCCAAGAAGGAGGCTATGGTCTCACTGCAGGCAAATGGGACCCAAATCCTTTTTCCCTCTTTGCGACTCATATCCGACATTTTCACTGCAGTCTGATAGACTCCATTCCA